AAAAAAGCCAACAATTTAAACCTTTCTCGATGGCTGGAATTGCTTTTTGTGTTCACAGCCTGTTGTGTAAAAAGCTGAGAAATACAGAGTGAAAGATTTGGAGGCTTCTGCTGATGGGGAGAAGTTTAAAATCCTTGTGTAAAATATGTAGRAGGATGAAAAATCAAAGTTTCATCTCTCTGTGCTTAATTCTCTTATGTAGGAATTAAAACTCCTCTTTTTTATCCCCATGCTGAGGCTTTCCCAGTGTGCACCAAGCAGAATTCCTGCTCTTTCCCTGGAAATCCTGGATTTCCAGGATCTGCCCCTGTAATTACATTTCAGGGCATCGCTGGGTGCTGACATTAAAAATGTACATATTCAGTTCCAGTTAAAATTAAAACCATTTCAAATTCCAGTTTCTGTTTTTTTGGCATTGAAATTCCTGTGACCAATTTGGTGAGTGGACTTTGGTCACCTCCCTGTCCAAAAATCTTGTTGGATGCTCAGAGGTCTTTTTTTTCTATCATATGTCTTAAGGGAGATCTTGAATCACAGATTTATTTTTTTAAAAAAATGAGATAATAAACTCTTTGAATTCCCATATAATTCATTTGTGCTTTATGGTGCAGCCACATGCAGAGGGCAGCTGTCACTTGTTTCCCTTCCACCTTCTGATGCAGAAATTAATAGATTTCTGCATCGAAATGAATCCTAAAAACTAATGAGAGGCTTTCTAAAKAGACAAAACCCCTTTTCTGGCAGTCCATTAAAAAATATCAGTTTCATGGATGGGCCTGATGGTGCACACTATAATTGCTAGAACTGACATTCCTTAATCAAATGTAAATAATGTGGCCTTGGAGAACCTTCTTTAACGTCTTGAAGGCTTTTTTTTTTTCAGAGTTTTGAGTAAAAATTCATTTGGATGTTCAATCAGCAGCTCCACAGCTGAGCTTCTGTGTGTCCTTGTAACTCAGTTGTTGGTGTTTTGATTTCTCTCTGGGCTCAGTTTTCACTGTCATCCTCAAACACAGTTTTGGATGAGGATGAGTGTGGAAAAGCAGCTTTGAAAGTTTCAAACTGCTCAAATTTCTTGATGAACCAGCTTTAGAATGGCTATGAATTACTCTTTTAATCTGCCAGGACCTAGAAATGAAGTGATTTAGCTGCACAGGAAATGGTGGGGTTAATTTTGTATAAATTATCCTGGAAATGGGCAATTCTGAAGTCTTATGGCAGAGTGAATTGTTGCACATAGGAATTGTGGAACGAGAGGGGGTTCTTTGGGTTAATATTTAAATGCAGAGTGTATTTAGAGAAGAAAATGAACAAACACCAAAAAAACCCAATAAATTAATTCGCACTGGATTTCCGATCTCATGGAAGGCAGGAGATTTTATATTAGAGTGATTCATGACTTTGCCCTCAATTTAAAAATTATTTTGAGGAGGAATATTGTTGGTTTTGAAAACTGATTCCTTTTTTTTTTTCTCTGTACTGGGGAATGTGGAATTGTCCCTGCACTTCCAGATTTTATCCTGAGTGCTCCAAACTGCTTAAATCTCTGTTTGATTAATCAGGGGTTGTGTCCTGCTGCCAAAATTCCCAGGAGCTGCTGTTCCATGGGGATGGGACCACAACCCTGTCTGGGGGAGCTTGGGCTCAGTCATTCCTGGGAATGGGAATGGGAATGGGAAAAGGGGAATGGGATTGGGGAATGGGATGGGGATGGGATGGGATGGGAATGGGAATGGGAATGGGATAGGAATAGGAATAGGAATAGGAATAGGAATAGGAATGGGAATGGGAATGGGGATGGGGATGGGGATGGGGATGGGAAAGCAAAGGGAAGAGCAGTGGGGGTTTGGGATAATGCGCTTTTAGGACTGGATCAGCTCTAACCTTGGCTGAACCAATCCTGGAGCTCCCAGGGTCATTCCTGGCTGCCCCAACCCGATCTGTTCTCTTCAGTGCCACTGAACCACTTTTAAAAAACACTGAAAAAAACCCATATTTTGGGCATTAATGCTGAAGGATTTCCATCCCAGTGACACAAAATTCCAAGGCTTGGCACTGAAGCTGTCGGTTTCACAAAGTGTCCAGTGACACAGAAACACCAGCTGTGTTCTGCTGGGCTCTGTGAAGAGTGGCCATTCCATTTCTGTGGAATAGATGGAATTGAAAAAGGTTCTTTCAGGATAAATGTGGGTGCCTTTGTAACTGGGGAGAGGCACAATCGCTGCTCCTCTTCAAGGTCACCAACGTGGCAGGGTGGGCTCTTCTCTGGTCACCTCAGGGAATGTGCAAAGTGACCCCTCAGTGAGGAAATGGGCATTCTTAGAGATCAGAGATTCATGGAATCACCATGGAATTGCCAGGGAAACACCATGGGATCACCAAAGAATTCATGGAATGGTTGGGAGGGACCTTAAAGCTCATCCCATCCCACCCCATTCCACGGGCAGGGACATCTTCCACTGTCCCAGGTTGCTCCAAACCCCGTCCAGCCTGGCCTTGGACACTGCCAGGGATACAGGGGCAGCCACAGCTCCTCTGGGCACCCTGTGCCAAGGCTTCACCACCCTTACAGGGAAAAATTTCATCCTTATACCTCACCTAAATCTCTAAAACTTTTTCCTCTGCCTGTACACAAAGCCCCTCTCACTCTTTTCTTGACAAACTCCACCTTTAAGCACTGAAAGTCCAGTTTAGCTTTCCATCCTTTCCTGATAAAAGTTCAAATCTCAAATACAAGCTGTCACATTTACCACTCTGGCCATATTTAACCCTTTAACAATTCTCTTCATTTTCCTCCCCCCAGGCTGTCCCACGGATTATGGTTCAGTCGGCCRCTCTGGATGCCAGCGCTGCCAGGATCAAACAGGTGAGCCCATCCCAGGGTGGGAGGACAATTCTAATGATAAAATCAATATAAATTTTATATTAAAATTCGTATTTTGTATAAAAATACTATTTTTATATTCACCTTCCAGAGGTGGCCAAGTCATCAGCAGCTTGAAAACCATTGTACTTGTGCTGTAGTGAGAGAAGAATGCAGCCTGTGCTGCTGTGTTTTTGTAGGTCCTACTAAAATCTTCTTTCCTATTCCCAGTTACACTTTTATTTTTTAAAGCATTCAGTTAATTAGTTGAAATTTAATGGTTTTGCTGCTTTAAAAGGAAAATTTCTGTGCTCTGACAGTGTCTGTGAGCAGGACGTGGCTGTTATTCCGAGTGTGGAGCTTAATTCTCTGTTTTGGTGTAATATCAGCATGGAAAAACTCGTGCTAAGCTGGAGAGAAAACAGACCCTGGGATCTCCCACTTGGCAGCAAAACTTCAGCCTCCTGAGCAGCACATYAGCTTCCTCCCATGCCATTCCCACTGTGCTTTTAATGTCTCAGAAAAGCCTGTGTTATCCAAATGGAAAATCCAGAGAAAGAGCAAAGCTCTCCCAGTCCACATGGACACCGCCCTCGCTGTAGGAAAGTGAACAATTTGGCTTTAATCTGCTGGAATATTTTATTTAAAAAATATTTTCCTTTTTTTTGTGTTTTTTTTTTTTTTTTCACTTAGCAGTAGCAAACCTTTGGTTCTGAAATTCCTGTAATCCAGTCAAATCCCTCTTTTTTCAAAGATGGATTTGCTTCTGCTTCCAGTAGAAAAGGCACTCGGGAATAAGCTGAAAACCCTGGAGTTTGGGACCACTTAACCACTGGATGGGAGAAATCACAAAATCCTGAATAATAAACAAAGGAGCTCACCTGAGACAGGATTTATTCAAATCTACCTTTCTCCAACCTCTTTTTTTTTCTACCCCTTCCCATTAGCCCTCTCCTCCCTCCCTCCTTCCCAAAGAGATTTAGAGACATCCTAATCTTTTAGAGTACATGTGCTGGCAGAAGATATTGATCYATCAGATTTAGTAAACTTTACAGCCAAGAAATCCATCACTGGAATGGGCTGTTAATCTCGGGAGGTGCCGTTAATTCCGTCCTCGGGAAGCGCGAGGCGCTGGCGGCCCCGAGCTGGGAGCGGCGTTTGGAGTCGGGGACAGAAATGACACTTCAGGTGCAGGGGGATGATTTATCCACACACAGAGTGGAGCCAAAAAACTGGGAGAGACTTATGGATCAAAACCGCTTCGCATCCCGTATAAATCCTGCTGTTCAAACAGCCAATGACCRTTGCTGTACATAAATAATTTCTCAGTAAATATTGGGGGGCGTATTTCTCGTGGTTGACACTTCCCCAATTAATGGAAGCAGCGAGCTGACAATCCTCCCAGGCTGGTGGGGCTGGATCAGCTTCCATCTCCTGGAGATTGCAGCCACACAGGGATTCAGACAATCCTTGCACCTGCACTTTGATCCCAGATATTTTGGGTGACAGAGTTATCCCCAYGTTCCCTCTCTCCTCTGTTCCAGATGCACCAAGAGGAAGCAGCCGGGAAGCAGTCCCTGGACCCCGTGCCGCAGATGGACAAAAGCCTGGAGAAACCCCCCAAAGTGCCTTTGCAGCAGCCCCCCGGGGACCCCCAGGCCCMGGAGTGCCAGGAGGGCCCCCCGAGCCCCCTGAGCGAAGCCTCCAGYGGGTATTTCTCTCACAGCGTCTCCACGGCCACGCTCTCCGAGGCGCTGACGGCGGGAGGGGACACAGCAGCTCCACCAGGAGCACCCACGGGGAGTGACCTCACAGCTCCTKCTGATGGGCAGGGACACTGGGACAGAGCTCCTGAGAGCTGTCAGGGCACCAAGAGGGAGAACCCCCTCTCCTGCAGCCTCCCAGGAGCTGCCCCCCGAGCCAGGGAYRGCCCCGAAGCCGAYGGGAAGCCCTGCGAGCAGGGACTCGGCATCTCGGCCGATCCCAAACCTTTTTCCTCTCCCTCTGCTCCCAAAGAGTCCATATCCAAACCCTCTGGGGAGTCAGCAGGGCAGGCCAGGAGGAAGGAAACATCTCCTGGGCCTTCAGAGCTGGTGTTCCCCAAAGCTCACCCCGAGCAGCCCGGCACTGCCCCCTCCCCGTTCCGGATCCAGAAGGTGAAGACGTCGGAGCTGAAATCCTTCAGCAGCATGTTGGGGTCAGACCCCACGAGTTCCCTGAGCATGGAGGAGCAGCAGGAAGGAGAGAGGGTCACATCCACCCCCCGTGGGCTGAGCCACAATGGGGCAGAGGCGGCCGAGGAAAAACTGGAGGTGGCTTCTGACTCGGAAGAGGCCAACGAAATTCCCGAGTGGCTGAAAGAGGGGGAATATGTCACGGTGGGCACCAACAAGACGGGCACCGTGAGGTACATCGGGCCCACGGACTTCCAGGAGGGAACGTGGGTCGGTGTGGAGCTGGATTTGCCTTCAGGTAAAACATCCCCCGGATCAGGTGGGAAGCAGCCAGCATGCCCCATCCTAAAGCGGATTTTTTGGGATTTGTTACCTGTTACCCATGGCTGGAGAAGGGAAATGTAAAAGGGCTTCCCTGCTGTTGTGTTTTCCCAAACKTGCTCTCACTTCCAACCCCTTCAAGATCCCAAACCATTCTGTGATCCCTTTTCAGTGATTTCTTTGGCTTCTTCTACTCGAAGTAGGATTTAGGATTCCTTTTCCATGCAGTTTGGTGAGTGACAGCTGCAGGAGTCAGGCCTGGTGTCCATGGGATTCTCTCCTGGGCTTCTGCAGGGAGGATGAAGKTGTTGAGAGCACAGCAGGAGTTGTGGGATTTAGCTCCAAGGGACATTTAGGCTAAATGAGTTGCAAAGTCCCTTAATAGGTATTAAGAGGTAATAGGATTTTATTTCCAAATAAGCTTTAAAATTGCAGAACACTATTTCTCTCTGCATGTACATCTATATATATTTATATATGTTGATATATATTTATATATAGATATATATTTATATACACATACATGCCCGTGCATACATGAAAACCAATGTGAAATAATGATCCACTGACCACTGGGCCATACAGAAAATTCAAGGTTTCTTTTACCATCACATTTATCATCCCTGCCTGACTTGTACAAGCTGTGGAATTCTCAAAATTTAGGGTTTCCGGGATTTTTTTGAGAGCAGGGTGCAGTTCCTGGGCTGTTGGTRTGGGAATGGGGCATCTCCAGCACAGGAGSAAGGGRWGTTGRTGGCTGGGATTTGATCTCTGCTGGRGTCCCAGGCTTCCCAATCCCTTTCCTCTCCTCATTGTGCTTTCCTGGGATTTGTTTTCTCCAGGATGGAAATCAGGAGAGACCCAGTGACAGTGAGAGGATTTGGGTTACCCCATAAAGCTCTTTATTGCAATCCTTTTAGCCAGAGTTTTCCATCCTGGAAAGYGACCTGCAGCTCCTGATCCCTTTGAAACCAGCAGGAATTTCTCAGTCCCKAATTAGTGCCTAGTTTAAAAATGCGTAAATACACATTTACAGATTCATTTTGGTTTTGTAGGGTCACCTTCCCTGTCAGGATGCTGATTCTGTTTGCACATCCCAACAAGCAGCAGCTGCCATGGAAAAGTCAGGAAGGTTTTGCCCTGCTGAGGACTCAGCTGCTGCTGTTATTGGGATCTTTTTTTCCACTTTCTGTTTCCACAAGGATTAAGACCCTGATTTGCTGAAGCACATTTGGCTTCTGGCACATCTGGAGCTCCACTTGGGGAATGTGGTCACAGAGTGGCATCTTTGCCACGCTGTAAACGGGGATGGAACTCCAAGGATGTGGAAATCCCAAGTTCTGGCCCTACGAGGGTGCTTTGGATCCAAATTGGTGATGGTGGAAGGGAGAAGGAAACACCCCAAAGGCAAAAAGGGTGACCTTGTGACCTTTAAAGAGCTCTTGAATCTTCCCACCTTCCCTTTACAAATGGGAACAGTTTCTGTCCCAATCCCTGAATGATCCTGAGAACTTTCAATGATCTAAAAAGGGAAATGGAAAGATCTCAACAGCAGCAGTGTGGAGAAATTCTCCTTCCTGTTCTGGGGAGGGTTTAGGACATGGAAACAGCGACAATCCTCAATTCACACATCAGCTCAGAAAGCCAAAAACTCTTTTAAATGGCTGGGTTTCCTTCCTTCTTGATACCTTTAGTGATAGAACAGATTGTTTGTCACTTTGAGGGGAAAATAAAGAATTCTCCTGAAGAGGAAGGAGCAGGTGGAATGTCCCTCCATCACTCTCCATGCAGTCCTGGCTTCAGCAGTGAGGTTTTACCTCCAGGGAGCATTTTTAGGGAACAATCGTTTTCCCTCTCAGTGTCTTTTCCTTGCCTCCTTCTCTGGGTGCAGCAGCACCAATTTGCACAGAATAAAACCCACTTTGTAGGAAAAAAATCCTTCCTTGGAAGGGTGGGGAGGCCCTGGAATGGAATTCCCAGAGAAGCTGTGGCTGTCCCTGAATCCCTGGAGTGTCCAAAGCCAGGCTGGATATTGGGGCTGGGAGCACCCTGGGGTASTGGGAGATGTCAGGGTTGGAACGGGGTGGGATTTAGGATTTTAAGGTCCCTCCCATCCCAAAGCATCCTGTAACGCCCCGATTCTCTCCTGGCAGGGAAGAACGACGGCTCCATCGGGGGGAAGCAGTACTTCAGGTGTAACCCAGGCTACGGGCTGCTGGTGAAGCCGGGCAGGGTCCGGCGGGCCCCGGGGCCGKCGCGGCGCCGCAGCTCCGGCCTCAGGCTGCAGGAGAACCGCAGGAGTGGCAACTTCTCGGGCTCGACCTCCAACCTGGCCTCGCTGACCGCCCTGGCCAAGGCGGACGGAGGATCCACGCTGCGGCTGGAGAAGAGCCAGAAAAACGCTGAGAACAGGAAATCCTGGGCAAACTGAGAGAGCTGGGCATGGAAAACGCCCTGGGGCACGGCTGGGTGGAGCCGGGGAGAGAAACCAACCATCCCAACTTCAGCTGGTGGCATATCCAACCATCCCAACTTCAGCTGGTGGCAAATCCAACCATCCCAACTCCAGCTGATGGCAAACACTGCTGGAGGGTTCGTTCTCTCTGCTCGGGGTCATTGACACGATGACGATTCTTTGCCTTGTCGCGGTGCTGGATCCTTCGTTCCCTGTCTCAAATCCCGACACCTCTGGGGGTGATCGATGGGTGGAATGAGCKCCTTTCCTTCCTCCTTCCAGAGGAAAATTGGTCAAATCATAGCACAGCTTCCAACAGCCCCAAAAAACCTCCCCGGGCCTCCCTCGGCGTGCAGGGCGATTCCTGAAGAACCTCCCAAAATAACGTCTCCGTTTGATTCCATCGGAGCTGTGCTGATCCTGCCTCATCCACCATGAAAGGGCAAGGTGGGAATGATTCCAGACAGGCAGGGAAGTGAAAGTAGAACTTTGTTTGGGAATAAACAACCCCCAAAGTCCCTTTATTTGAAAAAGCWGCAGCCCTTGGGTTGTGTGGCTGGGAGCAGTCCCTTTGGGATTATTGTCCCGTTATTCCACTCTCCTGTGGAAAGCAGCGTGGGTTTTCCAGCTGTTTTTGGGAATGGGAGAGTACCCAGGGCCAGCTCTGTCATGTTTTTGATCTATTTAATGTTTGCTCTCCCCATGACAGGATCTCCTCTCTCACTGGCCCCAGCATGGCTGGACCTTCTCCTTGGTCGGTCCTTCCCTTGTTGGGCCAAGAGGATTTTTGCAGAGCTGTCAGCACGGAGGTGCTTCCCTGTTCCCACCCAGCCTTTGGAGACACTTGGAATTTTTCCAAGCAAGGCWCGCTGTCCTTGGAATCAATCCAGTCTATTTATTTTTATTTATTCCTTTAAAACACGAAACGTTTGCGCTTTACAATCATCCCCCRCCCGGCACCGCCCGGAGGAGCTCTCCCAGCACCAAAGAGGAGGTGCCTCTGTCGCCCCAAAACCAGCCTCTCTCTCGGAAAAGAGGCAGTTTGGGCTGGCTTTTATAAAACTTGATTTTATTTGTGGCTGGTTTTCAAACTTGATTTTATTTGTGGCTGGTTTCCAGCTGCCCGTGGCCCTGGGGACGCGTCCCCGTCTGTGTGTCCGCGCACGGCTCAGCTGCCGCTTGTTTTCCTGTCAAATCCTGAAAAGCCACGGATTTTTCTCTCCTGAGCTATTTGTGTCTTGTTTAGGGGGGATTGGACAGCCTGAGCAGTAGATGTTTTAGCTACGTGGGGACTATTTAGGATRCTAAATTAACGATTCAACTCTAATATCTCTCCAGTCGCTGCCCRTGGGTATCCAAGTGCCTTAAACCATCTGGTTCCGAGGTCCAAGGGAAAGCTCCGTTGGCATCAGAGGAGATAGGGATGCTTAGCGAAGGAGATAATTATGCTGATTTACTGTAATTAATATCATTTATGCAGGAGGAATAAAATTAAAATAGAAACTAATCTGTAGCAGAAATGAGCGGGCTGGGTTCCGACGCAGCCCAGGGACTCGCGGATCCTTCCAGCTCGGTGTGAGTAGTTCCAGCCTTTCCTAAATTCTCCTCGAGAAATCTTAATATAAAATGTACAGAGCAGCTTTTTAAAGGTATTTTTAGTGTACAGTTTTCCCTCTTTTTTTCCTTTGCACGAAGCTCCTGTCCATCCGAGCCGCGATGGGGGAGGAATTCAGCAGTTGCGAATTTGGGTGCCGAAATCCCGGGTTTTAAAGTTAAAACCAGTTTTATGGGTTTGACCCATGCCACGAAACGCTTCGTTTTGGGGTCTGAGGAGTCTTGCTGATGGAAGACAACCCATTAATYAATTCAATGCCTCTTCCACTGCCTTGCTGGTTCTTTTAACCCCTCCCTGGCTGTGATTTTAATTGCACTTTGTCCCGACGTGCTGCCGGAAGGAGCTGGTGTGGAACAGCCCCTCCCCGGAGCTSTGTGGTTTTAGTCTCAGCATTTCAGATACTTGGATTTAGGGATGTCTTCAAAACTCCTCCACGTTTGCCTGGTGGCCCCTTTGGGGGAGGAACCAGAMTAGAGGTAGAAATCATCACAAAGGTAATAATAGATATTTTTTATTGATAATATTAGAAAAACTCTACTGTCAGCCTAAAGGAGGAGGTGCTCTTAACTGGACCCACCCAGCGCTGAGGCTGCTGTGTGAATAGCTATGCATATTTTCCCCCAAGATTTTCATGCACTTTATACAGGGAAGAAGGATATTTAATGCAGGAAGGTGTAATTTGTAGGGAGTATCTCATCTCCGGCATCTCCCGGGGGTTCAGTCCTGCTGGCCGTGTCCCTGAATCGTGGGTGGGTCTGGGATTCTTGGAGAATGGTGTTGGTGGGGTGGAAAGGCTCCAAATAACCCCTGTTCCACAGGGCTGGGGTCTCTCCTCCCCACGGGGTGTCCCTGACACCGAGCCAGCCAAGAGGAGGCTTCTCAGAGGGACTTTTTGGGCTTTTCTCAAGCCAAGCCGAGCCTTTTTCCCGTGTCAGGTTCAGCTCTTGATGTATTTTATCTCCATGTCCGAAATCAAGGCAGTTCTGCTGGAGGGTTTTGGCTCTTTGCTGTTCCAGGACATTCTTTAGTTGAGGAAAAGGAACAGAAACAAATCCTGCGCGGTGACAGCACCCAGGTCCTTCAGCTGAGGGTTTTGTCCGGGGCTGGGGTGGGATGTTCACCCCAAAAGGCAGAACCCCCTTGTTCCCCTCCCCGCAGCGGTGGAGCGCCATCCCTGTGGAGCCACCAGGCCATGTCCATGCGATGCTCCCGCTGTCCCCACGCTGGCTCCTCCAGCTCTTTGCACAACATTCCACGTTCCCAGTGCCTTATCCCGGGGCCAGCAGCCCGGGCAGCCTCGGGGTGCCTGGATTTTAGGGAATGGGGCRGGGAGGGACGGCCGGGCTGCTCACACTACACCACACCCCGARCGGGGTCCCGATCAAGTGTCTTGTTCCTCCATCTCCCGTGTCCATGTTGATTTTTGTTCCTGCCCTCTCCACCATTCCCAAACCCTTCGGGTTCCCTGGAGCCTGTCCCTGCCAGGTTCCCCTGTACTTTAAACGAGCTGAAATCCAAAGAGAACTTTGTAATGAGCTGTAAAGTTTTTCATGATTCTGTACCATACTAAAGGACTGTAATATTGTATCATATGTGCGATGCCGCCTGCAGGACCTGAATAAACGTCTTCTTTAGAGCCGGGGCTCTGTGCTTTGTTACTCCGTGAGTAATGTTTGGAATTGGAAGAGTTWAGGYTGGAARAGCCTCCAAAATCGAGWCCAGCACTGCCAAGGCCACCACAGCCCCGTGTCACATCCACAGGGCTATGAAATCCCTGCAGGGGTGAGGATTCCAGCACTACTCTGTTCCAGTTGATGCTGGAGGGATTTTTCCCTTTTTCCTTTTATACATTTKTAACCTTCCCAGCACTTTTCCCAACCCTTTTCCCCAGCTAGAAAGAACAAACCCATTCCAGAGCTCCAAGCCCTCGGGGGCACAAGGACCCATCCTGTCCTGGTTCTTCCTGGAAATCAAGGTCCGTGACCCATTTTCATAACCAAGGACAGCCAAGACCGAGGGTGGGGGGCTCCAGAGAAGGGGCTTGACCTGGGGGAAATTGCATCACCCCTTGTCCTCCTAATTTGTGTTTTTAATTAATTATGCTAATTTCTTAAAACCTTTCAAACTGTATCAACCCTGTGGGGTGGACTTTTGTGGAAATCATTCCATGGCTGCCCCTAGAGCTCCCATAAAAACCTACTTTTATATCACTTTCTGTGCTGAAATCATCTCCAGTTTCATTTCTAGGTTGAAAAAGGCGACACGATACCTCACCAGTTTTGGGTAAGAATTTTTCCCCAATATCCCCAATGGGATGAGGGTCCCCGGTACTTTCCTGCCTCACTCCAGGTGGGTCCATAGGGAGCTCGGYGCCTCAGGGAGCTGCCAGAACCAACCAAAAATGCATTGAGGTGATGAAACCCCCCTCAACCTTCCCTGCTGTCCTTGAAACCCCTCCTTGGGTCACATCCCTGCCTTTCCCTTTAGCACCACTTCTCTCCCAAATGCAGCTTGTTGGGAACAACAGACTTTGGCTGGGATTATTTTGTGGAGTTTTTCAGTTTATCTCTTTTTTTTTAAAAGCAACAAACGCTGCGCCGATCCCTCCATCCCCACCAAAACCCGGCGAGTGAAGGATATTTTTATCAGCGCTGTCTTGCAATCAGCGCACGAAAACAGCTTTTTTTTTTTTTTCTTTAAAGCAGTTTTTATATTTTATATTTTAAAAAAAAAAAAAAAAAAAAAAAACCCTCTTTGGCTGAAACACAGGAGCCGTTTGAAGCGGCGTCACTTTGTTCAAAGCTCGCTTTTCCCGGAAGGTGCTCGCGGCACCTTCCCCACGCTGCCGCGTTCTGTTCTCCAGCCAAAGCCAGCTTGAAAAGGCTGCAATCAAAACCAGCAGGAAAATAATTTTTTAAAAACTCCAAAACTAACAAAGAACACCTTTTCCCCATTTTTCTTCGAATTAATTCTGCTTCCATTGGTGTTGCTTTGCCATGAGAGTCGATGGCCCCTGGGTTTCACCTGGGCAGAGACAGGAACTGCTCTGCCTCGAGCTGGGCACATTTTAGAAGCGTTTTGCTCACCTTTGGACACCAGCCTATGATAAATTCCTGGATTTTCCCTGATCATCTGGTTTTCCACCAAAACCGGCACAAAATAGGCTGGGAGTGCAGCTTCTTTCACAGCACAGGCTTCCAACGCGAGTTTGTTCCTTTTTTTATTTTATTTTATAACATCTCCCAGTGGAGCTTTTCTGTATTCCTGATTTTCAGCTGTGAAGGAATGAGTGGGCTCCACCCAGGATCACCTGCCCGGGGTAGGAACAGYCACTCCTGGAAGTGTCCAGGATCCCTGGAAGTGTCCAAGGCCAGGCTGGATGGAATTTGGAGCAGCCTGGGACAGCGGGAGGATGGAATCGGATGAGCTTTGAGGTCCCTTCCARCCCAATCCATCCTGGGATTYCYTGATCCCMMCCYYCCCCCYYCCMAAAAACCCCCTCTGCCAACACAGCAAACGTGGCAGCTGATGATGGGGAGGGTTGGGATAAATTCAATCCCCTTCTGAGATGTCTGAGAGGCACAAGGAGCAGTTTGAAAGGGGTTTCCACCCCTCAAGTCCATTTTTTCTCACTCCCCTCTGTTTCGGGGTGTCCATCCTGAGCAAACCGCCCCAGCCTCGGCTGCACATCCTGATTTTAACCAGGACAGCAGAACCCTGACACCTTTGCATTGAATAAACCCATTCCTGTGACTTTGTGTCCTTTCTGCCACCCAGCTCCTTCTTCCATGTCACCTGCAGGAATTCCTTCCCATTTTTTGGGAGGTTTTCCCCACCCACCCCACAAACCATCTTTGAAACCCCCCTGAGCTCCTCAGCCCAACCAGGGCAGGAGTAAAGAGCAGCCACATCCCCCTCCCGCTTTGGGCTTCCCAAAATTCCACCTGAACTCAGGAATTCAAATTCAATTCAAATTCAAAACCATTATTTTTTTGTTTTATCACCAAGTGGTCCCAAAGTCTGCCATCTGCAGACCTTCAATTGCTTGAGCAAGAGGTTTTATGGTTGGGGTGGGGCTCACAGGGCCCTTCCTGAGGCTCCGGGACATCATCGTGTGACCCAAAACTGTGACAAATCAAACCCCAGCCAAAGGAGGGGAAACTCTACTCTCAATTATCTTTCTTCAGTGGAAAAATCCCCCAAATGTCTCTGCAATCAGCCCATGGCTCAAATTCCAAGTGATTCCACTGCTTCAAATCCACCATCATTGTATCCACCACCTTCATCCCTTTTTTCCCTTAAAAAAAGGAAGTGCCCAAAGAATTCAATTTCCCCCAAACAAATCAAAATTTTCAACATTCACTTCATTCCCAGGCCATATTTTAGGTCTCACACCCAAGCCCAGCACAAAAAAAAAAAAAAAAAAAAAAAAAAAAAAAAAAAAAAAAAAAAAAAAAAGGACTGACAGAAGAAAAGGGTCTGTGTTGAGTTATACATTTTTATTTTCTAATAGGTACAATACTAAAATAAACACAAATTAAAAAAAAGTTTTATTAAAACAAAACTGTACAAAAAAGCAGTTATACTACATTTTAATTACAGAACAGTCTACTGTCCAAAAGGCACTAATCCAGAATAGGAGATACAATGATACAGGACTCATTGGAACTATTTTTAATCAATACAATAGAGCACTTGTTTCTCTGTCCATTCACATACAGAAACAAGGACTTTTGCTACAGTCATTACACATTGTTATAAATATGAGCCCTACGTGCAAAGGTGCAGTATCGCTCTCCGGGCCGCGGGTCGGCTCTGACAAAGGCAGGGATTCAATTTAAAAAGGATTAAAAAAAAAAAAAAAANGATGGTTTGTTTTTGCAGCCCCTGCCACCAGGGGAAGGTGTGATGGATATGGATCCTCACCTGCATTTCAGGGGGAGGCTGGACTGGATTCCTCGAGGGTTTGGTGGAACTGAAGGTGAATTTGGTCACCTCCTGCCCAAAGCTTTGCATCGGTTACTCCACTCCATCCTCTTTGATCCTTTGAGCTTTTCTCTCCCTGGATAGTTCTGTGTGATGGATAAATCAGGATTCCCAGCACACCAAGGGCTCTCAGGTTTCCCCCATTATTCCTTTCCTCCTTGCCAGGAGCCATCAGCACCGTGCAGACCAAGGCAGTGACTGGGAGGAGATTCTGGAATGTTCCTCAACACTCAGTGCCTTCACTGCAAGGGCATCGGGGCGAGCAGATGGACCCTTTGAGGCTGCTCCAGCTTTCCCAAAGAAATGGGCCAAAAGCGTCCCAAAACCACCAGGGATGATGGGATGGATGTTCCTGAGGGGGCCAAAGTGCACCAAAGCCACCAGGGATGATGGGATGGACATTCCCGAGGGGCACAGGGTGAATTCCATCCCATCAGCTCCCCAACTTTCCTGCCAGGCTCCCCCAGTGCAGCCAGCGTGGGCAACACGAGGTGCCCATGGCCCCTTCCTCGATCCCCCGTGGTGGAGTCATTAAGGTTCACTCCCTGGGACTTCCCAGCACTTCCTTCTCCATAAGGAACTTCCCACCATGAAGAAATTCCATAAAAAACTTCCCATCATGAGGAAACTCCATAAGAAACTTCCCATCATGAGGAAATTCCATAAAAAACTTCCCATCGCGAGGAAATTCCGTAAGAAACTTCCCATCATGAGAAATTTCCATAAAGAACTTCCCACCACGAGAATTTCCATGAAGAACTTCCCATCACAAGGAAAATTCCATAAAGAACTTCCGATCACGAGGAAATTCCATAAGGAACTTCCTATAATGAGGAAATGCTGTAAGGAACTTCCCACCACGAGGAACTTCCCACCTCCTCTCTCCCAACCTATCCAATCCATCTTTTTCCCCAAAATGTCAGGCTGAGGACCATCAGCAAAGCATGGACAGGAATTTAGGGAACRATCACAGGAGAGGAATCAACCAGCACACGAATATTCAACTCCACACTGACACAACGCGCCCGGGAAATTAAATATCTCAAACATCTCAAACATCTTTGAGCTGAACGAGCAGCCCTTAAGATTAAGATCGAGACCAGGGTGGATCTGAAGGGTTTGATGATGATGATGATGATAATGATGATGATGATGATGATGATGATGGTGGTGGTGGTGAGGGGCATCACCTGACTCGTTCCCGTGGAGGAAGGAGGTCGGACACGCGGGCGGGAGAGGGATACTGCACCTTTGGAACAGTGTCATACACAGAAGACAAAGACAGGCATCTGGATGTTAACAAAAATAAGTAACAAAGAAATATGATTAAACAAAATCTCTTCTCACATCATCCTATACTACATCCTCCTTCTGCTTAGCAGAAAATTGTACGTACACAAAAATACAAATACACAATTTTGTAGAACAGTCTGATTTTAATATATTTATATATATTTATATTTATATGAGTGGCAGGTTAGTTCATTATATAGAGCTTTTTGCACTTTTGGCTCATATGCAACAAGGCTTTATAAATTCAGCTTTAGCTTTCATTCAGGTTTTTTTTTTTTTTTTATAGCTTCTTGAACATTTGTTTTCACATTTAAAGCAGCATCCAATTTTGCAAGAGGAGTCGGTGGTGGCTACAGCAAGGAT